GTTAACATGGTTCGTATTTTGCAGTTATCATTGGACTCTAATTGTTTGGACCCCTTTTGATAACAAAGTCTACTGGTTCGATTCCCTCTGTGGAAGTCCAACCGAAGAAACCAAAGATGTCATTGACACCTTAGTTTTATGTCTATATATTTATTACATATAAAGTTTATAAAAATGTGTTCTAATGTTCTAATATTCATGTTCATAGGGCTTTTCACACTTTCAATTTTATGACCAGGCATCAAAATATGCAACCACCAACATGGTTTCTCCCACAAGTATGTTGTTTTGAGCTAAATATGTAGTTATAAATATTTTCAATCATCAAATTAGATAATGCTTATAAATTTTTTATTTTTTCAGTATCATTGTCAATCTGGGAAAGTTGAATGCGGATATTATGTCATCCGTTATATCAATGACATTATTGAGATAGGGGTAACTGAAAAATTGCATGAGGTAATTAAATATAACTTATGTTGCATGTAATTCTGCCCATTTTTTCACATTTTTAATCAAGTTGACTAATGAATCCATTTTTGATTTACAGGCATTCGAAAATGTTATGCCATATAGTGTAACATCCCAAAATTTGGAACCCTAGTAATGGGAGTGTGTAAAATGAGATATGATTGATAAGCATAAGGTATGAGTAAAGCATGAAAACCCAAAATGGGACAAAACCGACTTTATCGGGTCCCTAGGGGCAAAATGGTAATTTTAGAAAAAAGTTTCCAAAAATTACCTAAAAATAGAAAAAAAAATGGAATTAGAGGTTTTTGAGTCACACATGATGTTTTGGGAGTGAGAATAGCCCAAAATAAATTTTGGTGAAAATTCCCAAAAAAATAATTATTTTTGGGAAAATAGGAAAAAATAAAGGGAAATTAAAGTGATAAAATTATTTTAATTACCTAAGGACTCCAAAAAATCCAAGGAAAAATATGGATACACTCCCTAGGAATATATATGAATTTATAAAATTGTTTCCAAGCATTGAAAATATAGGAAATAATTTATGGGGAATTTATTTCCGAATTCCTATCGGTAAGGACCCGATTTCGGAGAAAATGTGAAATAAATATCTAGAGGTCTTGAAAAATTTCCAAAACTTTCAGATCACACTCTTGGAATAAATAGGGAATTACCATGAAAAGAAATGGAATTTTTGAAGCCCCTAGCTATTTTTCCTAATAGAGGGCAAGAAATTGGGTATTATGTGACCGAATGAATTTTTAAATTACCCTAACTAATTCCATTACTTCCTAACCAGTTTTTAACATTTGGTTAGCATCCAACAAGGCCCAAATTTGTGCTCACCATGATCAGAACAGCTGGTTTGTGTGCTGGGCAAATTTTCAACCATTGGATCAACTTTCTTGGAAAGTGAGTCAAAGAATGTGTGCCTAGGATTTGTTCTTCATTTTGGCCGACCTTTGCACCTATTTTGGGGCAGAAATAGCTGCCTAAGGGCAGGTATTTGGGCAGCAAATGAGGTCTATAAATACCCCCACAAGGCACTCAAAATTCGGACAAAATTGGGACAATAGAGGGGAGGTTCTGCACAATTTTCTTCTTGGCTTCCAAACACTCTTCAAATCACTCCCAATCCAAGGTTAACCATCAAGCTTCAATCCAAGACTCCTTCAGGTATGTTTAGGCTTTAATTTGATGCTTTTTTCTATGGTCAAACCGTGACTTAATTTGAGGGGGAAGTGCTGTTTCATTTCTATTGTGCTGGAAGTGCTAGGAAAGGATGGCAAATTGAGTATGAGTTGTGTTGTTGATGTTTGGTGCGGTTTTGAATGGGTTATGGAAGAAATTACCCTATGAACTATGACTTTTCAGTTCAGCCAACTCAAGAACTCAAGGATAGAAATTGTTTCAATAAGTTTTAATGGTCCTAATGGATTTAAAATGTGATGGTATGTAGGATTATGCTAAGGAAGTATGTTCAAATTCATTGGAATCAAATATGAAAATTTATGAGCCTAAGAGGAAGTGTTCAGCCATCTTGAATATATGGACTTATGATTGGATTTTGAAGGTTTTGATGCTTCCATTGAACTCCTTGGGTGTTTTTGTGTAGGGTTATATGGAGGAATTGAATTTGAAAGCATTAAAAATCAAAGTTGGAAATTTTGACATCTCCCTTATGAAATTCGTTTCTGTTTTGACCAGAACTTAAGGAAGGGATTAGCTTTTGTAAAATATGATTTGATATTTGAATTCTATATGAAAAACCATGTAGGAATGGCCAAGGAAGTTTCTTGAATCAAAAGGAAAACAATTAGGCCAAAAAATCCTAAGAAAAAGGGTTTAATGTTTAAGTAATAGGGAATGTGTTTGAATAATTGTTGAATGATTAGCATTGGTGTTGGTTTGATAGGTACCTTGCCAAATCCTCAAGAAAACATCTTGAACTTAAAGGAAATCAAGGACCAAGTACCAAAAGGTAGCATTGAATTACATTTGATTGCTTTCTTGCTTACATTGATGTGTTAATGTGTATGTGTGCAATGTGTGCCATGATGTGACTAAGCTTTATTGCAAATGTTGATTGCAATGTTTGAAGTATGTTGCCTTGGCATTATGTCCATTGAATATGTGTATAGTAGCTTACTTTCCATGGCATAAAAGCATGAACATATAAACAAGATAAATGCACAAAAGCATTGCACGTAGTGTTTGCAGGAATGCATGATAATTGTGATTCTGTGCTACTGGGATTTCTTTGAAATCTCACTCTTATGTTTAACACCACCTAGGAGGGGGTTCAAGCAAGGGAAAAGGCAAGGAAATTGTCTCAGAGACCCAATAAACAATTAGTGTACCCTTGTGTAAAGTTTGAAACTTGTTATGTAATATCATGGCTCTGGAAATGTTTGTTGGATAATAGCTCCTAAGGGGAGCCAAGCATGTATGTCTATGTTTAAATATATGAAAGCATAGTAGAATATATGTTCAAGCTTGTATTAAGCCCAAATGATTAAGGATGGATAAAAGGTTATGAAAGAGTCAAAATAAAGGTAATTAGGGGATAACCTTTGACTAAAAAGGACCAAACTTGGTGCATACGAAATAAATAGCAAATATTCGAATCTGGATTTTAAATTTGGCAGACTAATAGATCACATTTTTAGCTTTAAATCAAGTGGTAGATCATTAAATTTGGAATTTTGTAGACAAAGTTATGCCCTTTCGAAGTTGGATAAAAATACTGGAAATTTCAGAATTTACCAAGTGAACAGTACATAATTGCGTGGAAACTAGCATTGATCTGTGAGAAATTGATACCTGTGAACATTTTTCCCATGTGGAACATTTCATAAGCTTCACGTGAGACTTAGAACCACTCTGTTCTGATTTTTCTACATTTAGTTATGATTTTTCAAAGTTGACCTGATTTTTTTAAGGGTTACATGAATAGTAACCGAAATCAAAATTTTAAATCTTGGTTTTTACCTACTTTGAGCATCGTGTAACGATTCCAAATGGTTCTAAAGGACATATAATGGGGTTTAAAATGAAGGTGTGACATATAGCATGGACGAGATCAACTTGATAAGAGACTCTTTGTCAACCACATTATTAGAGAATCTTTAAAATGTCAAGTACTAAGGTCTCTTAGCTTCCTCGTGTATTGGTTCATTTTTTGATTGTTAACTATAGTTGATGTTCATATATGGTAATATTCAAATAGTTTTGTTGAGATAATGCTTTGGTGTTCATCTGGTAATCTTCAAATGGTGCTGCATATATATATTAGTCTACCGATTTGGGTACCTAAACTACAGGGAGGTGGTAAAATATAAAAAGATGAATGAAAAAATATATATAACATTTAACGGCGGTTATTCATGAAACCGCCATTAAATCAATTTATAACGGCGGTTTTATTAAAAATCGCCGTGGAAAATACTTTGCAACGGCGGTTTATCAAGAAACCGCCATGTAAAAATTGATTTTCCACGGCGGTTTTGAGATAAAACCGCCATTGAAAGTTTATTTTCCACGGTGGTTAATAACTGTTATGTTTTCTTATCCTTTCAACGTCGACTCTTTTTACTCCGCCTCCAAAACCGCCGTTAAAAGCCTCAATTAATTGCCGTTAAAAGCCATTTTTCTGGCAGTGAGATTGTCACTTCATTAGAGAAAAGTGGCAACAAAGGCTGAGTGATTTGATACATGTCGGGACAAAGAATTGGCAGGCTGATCTCCTCACAAAAGATGTTCGAGGAGACACATAGAGACATTTATTGGGCAAGTTGGAAACTCTCAACTTGTTTTCTCCTTCCCAACACAAGGGGAGTGCAAAAATAGTAGATGAATCCTAGTATTTGATTTTGATGTATTTGTATTCTTGTTAGCCTTGTATTAATCTTTCTGGGCTATTACATTGCTTTGTAAGGCCCATCTTTCTTAGCCTAGTTTATATATAGAGTTTGTTGCTAATGGACTGTATAATTGGGGCCCATTAGGCTTTGTACATTTGTGATCTCAGATTTAATAGTATAGAGGCTGTGCCATGTGCCTATACTGTGCATTCGCGTTTAGGGTGTTGTGATACTTAACAGTAACTGTCAATCTTATTCAACTCATCATTAAATTGTTACAAATGAGAATGTGTTAGGGCTTATTTGTACGTCTCAACCCATAAAACTAGCAATTGATAGCATTAAAAGCAAATATTATAGAACTCCTAAGAATTAAATAAAAATATTCTAGAATAAATTTAAAAAAATTACGCTTATTCAAATCAAATCTTAATCCAAAACTGAGATAATTTTGATGAAAAAAATCTAATTCATATTAATCTTATATCCTCAACAAGCAGTCAAAAGGATAGACCAGACCGACCCAAGTTTTCTTCAATCACTTTAGACAATTTCTCTACCATCCAAGGTGAAAAATGGTTAACCCAATCTCCTGCTATATATCTTTCCTAAAGAGATCTTTGTTTTCACACTGCTGCAAGAATTTTTCCAGTCTTGTTTGACTTATACTTCCTTCATCTTCTCAAAGCTACATAGCTCAGCTATGTTTTTAATAACTCTATTAGTTTCCTCATCTGAAGTGAAAGGGCATTCCAAGAACTCAGCTGCTCCCTTCAACAAGTGAAATTCGATATCTCCTTTCAGATCTTCATACTTTAAAAATAGATCCTTGGAAGGTGTTTTTCTACTCTCTCTCCAATAACCCAACATATGCGTCCAAAATGGGCCAGCCTCGTGGACTCCGATACAGCATCTCTCAAATGCTTCCTCACATGATAATTTTGGTAAAGATGGTGGTGCAATTTTGTTCATGGAAAGCCACAAAGAAACAAACTGGTCAAATGGGTTTCGACATATATAAATCATCTTGCATTTGGATTTGGTAATGGAATCAGGCAACGAATGAAACGGAACACGTGTACAAAAAATTCTTGGTTCAGGCAGGTTAGATAGATCAGGAATTTGGTTGTTATTTGCATAGTAATTTAACTCTATGAAAGGAACAAGCTCATGTGCATTGGAAATGAGCAAAGGATGGTGGTCACTTCGTGCTGGAGAGAAATGCTTACGATTCACAATGGCAAAAATAAGGGCTTTATTTCAACCAAGTAGTACCATCTTTCTGTAAAGTGGCAATAACAATATCGTTGTCTTTTGCTTGGAAGTGCTTTGGAAAAGAGCGTATGCCTTGGATTGGAACTGGCATACCACATGTCTTCATGGAGATAAATGTTTGGGAAAGCCCAACCCTTCTCTCTGCGAAGAGATTTGAGCAGATCCTTATATTCTTGGCCGTATTGTTTATACTCTTCATGGCAAATCTCGTTCTCAGACTCAACATTTGGCTGACCTTTTATGACGGAAGTGACACTAGTTTCAGCCATTAGAAGGATGGTATAATTAGGTAATTAACTAGTAAACAAGTTTCCATTTTTTATATACCATTGATCTGGCAATCGATTATTGCCATTATTTGAAATTAAAAATCGCGGTCTGTATTATAGAAGGATCTGATTATGGAGCATGTGAAGAGATAGATGCAGACGCATTCGCTGATAGCCCGATCCAGCTGTGCACGCCAAGGGAGTCGGTTTAAACAAGTATATTTCAATAATAAATGACACTAAAATAATCATTTAATATGATCATTATTGTACTGTGCCAACCAATGCTTGGATTAAAAAAAGCTGAAGACAACTAAATCATTGAAAATTATACAGAAAGTTTAGTGGGGGCAACGAAGTATGACGGTAACTTTGATTCCTATGGCTAGGGACCACTGCCACTTGCAGAGGATGCCGAAGTGTAAGTGGATTCATCACTACTCTCGAAGCATTTATATATCCAATTTTAATTATCTCCTTTTGGCAAAAAAAAAAGGTTGAAAGCTTTCAACTAATATTGCTTTATCTTTTACTTTGTATTTTATCTTTATTAAAATTTTATAACTCTATTTTTTTAATTTTTGAAATTGAACTGATTAAAATCCCCCCTCTTTCAAATCCCTCACACCAAACATAGAGTAAGAAGTGCAAAGCAGAGAAAATATTAACAATGACAGTTATCACCAATCTCTGCATATGATAAATGGAGTCTAAAATTGATGGCTTTCCAATTATCAATTCTCATGTAAAAAATATATGAAGGTTTATTCAACAACCTAAAGTATATGGTGTATATATATTAGGGAAAAAGACAAAAAAATGATAAACTAACTTGGGAATGACAGAACGTCTGTTGAATTTGCAAAATCTCATTTTGGTCACATGAGACCAAATTAGGATTATCATATTAAAATAAAAGACCAAATTGCCCTTCATTTTATTTATTGTTTTTAAAATATCCAAGCCTCCACTAGCCGGCTAGTCACCGGAGCTCTGGTGACTAGCCAACAATTGGTCACAAGAACTCTGGCGGCCAGAAACAATTTTTTAAAAATTTTTTACAACTTCAGTATAACGGTTAACCACTTTTGTAATACTATTAATAACTTCAGTATAATAGTTAACAACAGGTTCTCTGGGAAATTCAATAAGCTCCGGAAGCCAGAAACTATTTTTTTTTGAAAATTTTTACAACTTCAATATAACAATTAACAACTTTTGTGACGCTATTAATAACTTTAGTATATTAGTTAACAACAGGTCTTTCAGAAAATTCAACAATTGGGCATCGGAGCTAAAGCGGTCGAAAACAATTTTTTTAAATTTTTTTACAACTTTAGTATAATGGTTAATAACTTTTGTAACGTTATTAACAACTTCAGTATAGCAATTAACAATAGGTTTTTGAATTTGTTAACAGTATTACTAAAGTTGTAAAAATGCTACTTTTTTAATTTCCCGAAAAACCTATTGTTAACTGCTATATCGAAGTTGTTAATAGAAAAGTTGTTAACTATTATATTGAAGTTGTAAAAATTTTCAAAAAACAAAGTTGTTAAAGTTATAAAGATTCCATTTTTGAATTTTTTAAAAAATCTGTTGTTAAATACTATACCAAAGTTGTTAATAGAGTTACGAAACTTGTTAACAACATTACTGAAGTTGTAAAAATGTTACTTTTTGAATTTTTTGGAAAACTTGTTGTTAACTGCTATACTGAAATTGTTAATAACATTACAAAAGTTGTTAACCGTTATACTGAAACTGTAAAAATTTCAAAAAAAAAAAAGTTGCTATTGTAAATCTGCCATTGTTTTGAATTTTTGAGAAAACATATTAAATACTATACAAAAGTTGAGTTACAGAACTTGTTAACGGCATTATTGAAGTTGTAAAAATGCTACTTTTTGAATTTATCAAAAAACCTATTGTTAATAGCGTTACAAAATTTGTTAACCATTATACTAAAGTTATAAAAATTTTCAAAAAAATTGTTTTCGGCCACTATAGCTCCATTAACCAATTGTTGAATTTCCTAAAAAAAACTGTTGTTAACTAATATATTGAAGTTGTTAATAACATTACATAAGTTGTTAACTGTTATACTGAAGTTGTAAAAATTTTCAAAAAAAATGTTTCCGACCGTCGAAACTTGTCGAATTTCCCAGAAAACCTATTGTTAACTGCTATATTAAAGTTGTTAATAGCATTATTAAAATTGTTAACCGTTGTACTAAAGTTGTAAAAATTTTCAAAAAATTGTTTTTGGTCGCCGGAAATTGTTGAATTTTCTAAAAAACCTGTTATTAATTGATATACTGAAGTTGTTAATAGCGTTACAAAAGTTGTTAACTGTTATACTGAAATTGTAAAAATTTTCAAAAAAATTGTTTACAACCACTGGAGCTTGTTGAATTTCCCAGAAAACCTATTGTTAACTACTATACTAAAGTTGTTAATAGCGTTACAAAGTGGTTAATCGTTATACTGAAGTTGTAAAATTTTTTAAAAAAATTGTTTCTGACAACCGTAGCTAGGGTGACCAATTGTCGGCCAGTGAGGACTTTGGTATTTTAAAAACAATAAATAAAATGAATGGCAATTTAGTCTTTTCATTTAACATGATAATCCCAATTTGGTCTCATGTGACCAAAATGGGATTTTGCAGATTCAGCGGACGTTTCTGTCATTTCTAAGTTAATCTATCATTTTTCTGTCTTTTTCCCTATATATTAACTTGAAGTATTTTATTTTTCAAATACGTTCAGCACTCTAAATTTTATTTTGGTACATCTAGTATCTTGAAATATTTTTTCATATGCATCTAGCACCTCCAAATTATTCTGTGTATCGAATATTCTAAATTGCTAAGCGTAAAAGTGCACTAGAAAAATATTTTAGAGTATTGGATACACCTGAAAAATATTTTAAAATGTTTAATGCATTACAAAATACCTTATAATACTAGATATATATATATAAAACAAAAAATTTAGAATATTAGATACACTTTTAATTAAAAATATATTAACGTATTTATTTCTGTAAAGTTCAGAGAACATGCCCAAAATTGAACGCGGATCCAAGTTTTTGTTCACGGCAAATTCACCTTTCTCTAAAAAGGTAAAGTCAAAAAGTGCGAAGTCCAAAGTTACCAGCGGCAGTTCTCCTGCCACTTGCATAAGTTACTGGTCCCTCCTAATCAAAAGGGCCAAATTATCGCACCTGAAACCCATATTATCATTTATTTCCTAACCCGAATTGCAAATGGTAAGTTTGGACTTATTGATAATCCAGGGTTGCTCTATATGTATTCCCAAACAATTTCAGGTTGTGACATCAATGTTAAAATACATTGAGATATTTATCCAGTATTTTTAAAATATTACTTTAAATTTTATTTTTAATTGTCTGACAAATAAGACCTCTATTATATATCCATTTAACAGTCAATATATGAAAGAGTAAGAATGAAATATAATTCATACTTCATTCGTCAAGAAATCATTCCATGAGTGATGGGACAATGATAACTGAAAATCATTATTTGGAATGGAAGGAAGTTATAATATATTGAAAATGGAACCTCATCTTTTACCTAATTTCACTTCTTCTTTTTTTTAACTTTATCAAAAGAAATAAGCTTAATGAATGAATATTTTACCCAGTAGTACCTCCTCCACTGTGTTCTTCCCACGATATCGGTTTCTCTTCAGCTAGGTCTCTCCACTGAGCATTGCTGTAGCAATTATTTTTCCCTTCGATGAAAATATAAAGGTAACAAAATAGACAGGTTCCTAAATTCATATACTTGTTTATTTATTATTTTCTTAAAAAATAAAATAATACAAAGTAAAATAAGCAGAATCGCCACAATTATTTAAATTTATACTTTTTGGCCTTAATTATTTAAAGTTATACAATAAGAGAGAACATAGACATAAGAAAACAAAACAAAACAAAAAACACGGCACAACTACATGACTGAACCTGAACTGAAGGTCTGAAATCCCTATTTTATCATCTACGAATTTTTGGTTTAAGAGGAAAAAAAAAAATCTTTCTTACACCACTGATAATGCGAATATGGATGAGGACTTGACATATTACTTTTTAGCTGAAGGAGGTCATACAGTTCCAGAGTTGACATGGCGATTAAAGTGGAAGAGGAAGCATTAAGTTATGGCAGAGATTTCATCCTTATAATCTGCAGCTAGAAATTTTTGCCAAGAGATCTTATATTGAAAGGACAGCCCAGAACCAGAAAACTTCTCTTCCATTACTTTGGATAATTTCTCTATCATCCAAGGCGAAAAATAATTAACCCAATCACCAACCGCACCTTTCCTAAAGAAATCCTTGTTTTTAAACTTCTGCACAAATTTTCCAGTCTTGTTCACCTCCAATTCCTTCATCTTCTCAAAGCTGCACAGCTCAATTATGTTTTCAACCACACCATTGCTTTCCTCCTCAGAATTGAATGGGCAATCTATGAACTCAGCCACTCTTTTCAAGTGGAAACTAATATCTCCTTTCAAATCCTCATACCTTAAAAACAAAACCTTGTTTGGTGTCTCTTGGTTGGCTTTCCAATAACCCAAAATATGTGTCCAAAATGGACCACACTCGTTAGTCCCATTTGAGTACCTCTCAAGCGCTTCCTCGCAAGATAATTTGGGTAAAGATGGTGGTACGAGCTTGTTCACAAACAACCAAAACGATATGAAATTGTCAAATGGATTACGACATATATAGATGATCTTGCACTTGGATTTAGTAATTGAATCAGGCAATGAATGAAATGGAACATGTGTACTAAAGAGTCTAGGTTCAGGCAAGCTGGAGAGATCAGGAATTTGGTTGTTTACATAATGATTGTACTCAAAGAAAGGAACAAGCTCATGTGGATTTGAAGAGAGAAGGGGATGGTTATTTTGTGAAGGGGAAAATACCTTACGATTCACAATGGCAAAAGTGAGGGCTTTCAACCATGTTGTGCCAGATTTTGGCAGGGAAGCTAAGATAATATCACTATCTTTTGCTTGGAAGTGCTTTTGGAAAGAGCATATGGCTTGAATTCGAGTTGGTATATACCAAATGTCTTGGTAGAGATAGATGTATCGGTGGCCACAACCCTTCTCTCTGGGAAGAGAAAGAAGCTCTTTACATTGTTGGCTAAGTTTTTCATACTCTTCATCGTAAGCCTCATCTTCAAGCTTAGCATTTGAGTAGTGGCTTTTTGTCAGCGACGTAGAAGTAGCTTCAGCCATTGAAATGCTGGTGTAGTTAATTAGTTGATAACTTAGTATTATTTATAGGAAGTGGGGTAGCATCAGAAAAATTGTGAGGGCCAATTTTGCGAAGGACTAATCAAGATTTATTCAAAGAATGCTTTTCAAATATATTTGCTCTGATTTATTTTGTTTTAGTTCTAAATATATGAACATAATCTATCTACTATCTCCTAAATTTATTTATTTTTTAAATTATTCTTAACAATTACATATATTAATTAAAGGGATTTATATTACTGTGGGTAGCTGCCAACGCAAGTAATTAAATAAATTATTTTAGGAAAATTAACATAACCTTTTTTTTAATAAATAACCGAATTAATTAATTTTTTTAATTTCTGTAAATTAGTTATTTTGTTTTTAAATTAAGGGGGAAATAGCTTTCACTTTGTCCTTTCTACGTAACCTTTTTCAATTGTTATTGGATTTTTCCCCTTATCATTTTGCATGTATAAGATTCAATTGTTCGAAAATTAATAACCACAATGAGTCAGTGAAAGCTACATAGCATCTATCTGTTTAGCAAAAAGACGATCGAGGTGAGCTACGTGGAAATTAAGATGTCAGGAAATATGTCCTCCTGGCTGGAACTGAAAATAAAGACAAAATAATTTTGATTCGAATAATTAATGGTTTTTTATTTAGATTATTGTTTTGAGTAGCATCTAACATGTGAGTGTGACTTCGAGGAAGAAGGAAAGAAGTACAACTCCAACGTCTATTATATAAGTGATTTGCAACTTATTCTCATATATCAAAATATACATTAAATCAATAAAAAAATTTTAAATTTATTCTTATAAAAGTTTTTTCTCTGTGCATTTACAAATGATTCCTCACATCTCTCTCTTATTTCTCTCATTCCAACAAAATAAGAATAAAATTACAAAACGATCATTAAATATTCCCATATTCAGTATAGTACACGATAAGCTTATCTCACACAAAATTAATAATTTAAAAATTACGTTTGCATGGAATAACTGTAAGGAAAAAATATTAAAGAACTTTCTTTTAGACAAAAATTAAAAACCAGTTGGCATGAGATCGAATCATTTGTACTTTAAACTATCACATGAATGCAAACTCTGAAAGGACAAACGACATATTTGCTAGATGGTCCCCTGTTAATTTAAAATTATTTTTCACACTTGTTACAAAATGACATTCAGCACTGATTGCAACCTATCACAAGTAGGGAAATTAAAGGAGCCCAGATACTTTTTTGAAAAATAATAAGACACACAAATAAAATTTGCGCATAATCAATAGGAAAATGAAAGCCTAATCGAATAATTGCATAAATTACATACTACATTTCATGTCTTACAAAATCCAACAAGAGAATTTGCTAAGGTACGATCCCATCCTGGTAATCCACAAGTTGCAACCTGCATCAACATTCTTTTCCAAGCTGCCAATCTGAAAAAGTGTGAAATGGCTTTAGTGCAATGGCGCAATTAGATGTAAGAAAGGGCTTACAGTTAAGCTTCAACTAGAACAATTAATTCCAATGCTTCAGGTTCCACAGACAGAGACCTACATGTCTTAAATTATCTTCTTTCACAGACAGACACAAATTAGAAGACATTACCTGATTGTAAAGAACAACTAAAAGGATAGACCAGACCCAACCAACTTCTCTTCAATCACTTTGGACAATTTCTCTATCATTGAAGGGTTGAAATGATTAACCCAATCTCCTACTTAAGCTACACAACGCAATAATGTCTTGAATAAACCCATCACATCGTTCCTTGGAATTGAATGGGAAATCCAAGAACCGGGCCACTCTTTTTAAGTAGAAGTTGATATCTCCTTTCAAATCCTCATACTTAAAAAACAGAATCTTGTTTGGCATCTCTCTACTTGCTCTCCAATAACCCTACATATGTGATCAAAATGGGCCACCCTCATGGATCCCCTCCCAATGCCTTTCAAGTGCTTCCTCAAGTGATGATTTAGGTAAAGATGGTGGTGCGATTTTGCTTAGATGAAACCAAAAGGACGCAAAATTGTCAAAAGGGTTTCGACATATGTAGATTATCTTGCATTTGGACCTGGCAATTAAATCACGCAACGATTGAAATGGAACATGTGTAATAAATAGTCTTGGTTCAATCAAGTTGGAGAGGTCAGGGATCTGGTTATTTGCATAAGATTGAACTCAAGGAAAGGAAGAAGCTCATAAGCATTGGAAATGAGAAGAGGATGGTTATTTTGTGAAGGAAAGAAATGGCTACGATTCACAATGGCAAAAGTACAAGGGCTTTCAACCAAGTAGTACCTGATTTCGGTAAGGAAGCTATAATAATATCACTATCTTTTGATTGGAAGTGTTTTTGGAAAGAGCATATCCCTTGAATACTAGTTGGTGCAAACCAAATACCTTGGTAGAGATAAACATATGGACTAGTCCATCCCCTCCTTTTGGGAAGTGAAAGGAGTAGTTCCTTACATTCTTGGCTAAGTTGCTCATATGCTTCATCGTAAGCCTCTTTCTCAAACTCACCATTTGATTGGCTTTTTGTTAAGGAAGTTGCAGAAGTTTCCGCCATTGAATCGCCACTTGGAATATTCACTTAACCAGGAAAAATATATAGGCATATAAGAATTCAGCTCACAAGTTTCCAATAGGTACAGCACAGCTTGGCCACTGATTATTGTGATTATTTAAAATGAACAGTCGTCATTATAATTTTACGTAGTCGATTATTAGAATAGGTCTAAAATGAGGTACCGTTAGAATATAGGTGGCCACATATTGGGTTGCCAAATATTGAGAGAGAAATGATAAAATGATCTAGTTCTTATTATTGAATCTTAATAAAGTGATTTTACAGAGTCAACATGTACAGGGCTAGAGAAGTTCAGACGTCATGACATGTGCACAATGAGCTGGCTCTTAATAGACTTATCTAATTGGTTTCATGACAGTAAATCTAACAGAGGTTAGACTTATAACTCTCATTCCCCTTGCTTACAAAGGGCGAAGTGCAAGACAGAAGAAACAAGCAACAACTGAGAACTAAGACCGAGAATTAAGAACAAGAATCGTTTAAATTTCTTCATCAGCAGAAGCATGGTAGCCAGTGAGATCTGTCAAATCCGGTGTTTCAGGAGACATAATGTTGAGTTTGTTTCTGTAGTAGAAAAAGAGAGCACTAGATTGAGCCTTAGCCAGAGTATCCGCCACTTGATCAAACGAGGGAACAAATCCAACATGAACAATCCCTGCAGACGCTTTTTCTCGGACGAAATGAAGATCAAGCTCTGCATGCTTAGATTTGTTGTGCAACATTGGATTGGCTGCCAAAGCTACTGTTCCTGAATTGTCACACCAGATTGTTGGAGTGTCCACCACATCAATGCACATTTTCTTGAGCAAGGCCAATATCCAGATGACATCCGCCACTGCATCAGCAACACTTCGATATTCTGATTCCCTAGCTGATCTGGAAACTACTTGCTGCTTTTTGGAGTGATTGGATTTGGACCTAAATAAGTGCAAAAACCACTTGTACAGACATCTATCCTGCTTGCTTCCTCCCCAGTCTGCATCAGCAAAGGCCTGGACCTGAAAAACTATGACTGCTTTAATTAACAATCCATGAGTATAGGTACCCCTGAGATATCTTAGCAACTTTTCAACACATTCCCATTGTTTTACAGTAGGCTCATGCATGAATTGACTGAATTTATTAACAGTGAACGCAATGTCAACTCTGGTATAACAGACGTATTGAAGAGTACCGAGCACACTTCTGTATAAAGAAGGGTCAGAAAAAAGAGCACTGTCCCTGGACTTAAATGTACATTTACAGCCATTGGAGTGGCATAAGCTGTCGTAAAACATAAATTTGTTTTTTGCAGGAGCTGGTCTATATATTGTCTTCGTGTAAGTAATAAGCCAAAAGTAGTCCAAGTGAATTCAATGCCAGGAAAAAAGAGAGCTCTCCAAGATCTTTAAGAGAGAACATATCATCCATTTTTGTAATTAGTTGCTGTATCATTTTTTTTGAAACTACCAGAAATGACTAGATCATCCGCTTATGCAAGGAGATAAGTAATCTCTAAGCCATCTTGGTTGATGAACAAACAAGAGTCTGCTTTGGATCCTTTAAAACCCAGAGACTCTAAGGCAGAGTGAAGCTCTATGAACCAAGCTCGTGGGGCTTGTTTTAGTCCATCTATTGCTTTCTTTAGCTTACAGACTAGTGGTTGTCCATCATCACCAAATTTTTCAAAACCTTGAGGTTGTTCCATGTAAACCTCCTCTTGTAAGTCCTCATATAGGAAGGCCACTTGATGAAGCTTGCAACCATTTGTGACAACAACAGTATGTAAGCACAGCTCTAACTGTAATGGCTTTGACCACTGGATTGAACATATCTGTAAGATCGGTTTCAGCCTCTTGCACATAACCCTTAGCTACGAGTTTGCCTTTGCATTGAGCAAGAGAGCCATCCACATGCAACTTAGTTTTAAGCAACCACTTACAGCCAATGATTTTCCTCCCCGAAGGTAGAGGAACAAGCTCCTTGGTGCTAAACTTAATCAACGCACACTGCAAAGGAAATGACCTTTGCTGCAACTCTAAAAAGTTACCGCTAAAACTTGACTTTTTACGGCAATAATAAAAGTGGCCACTGAAAGTATGACTTTTACCAGTGACTATTATAGTTGCCACAGAAAGTCAAGTTTCAGCGGTGATTGTTTAAAGTGACCACTAAAAGTGACAACTTTCAATGGCGGTTTTACATAGCCACCATTAAAAGCTAGGTTATCAGCAGTAATGATAAAAGTCGCTATTGAAAGTCAAACTTTTAGTGACGACTATAAAACATCATCGTTGAAAGTGACACTTTCAAGAGTGACTATAATTGTCGCCATTAAAAGTCAGTGTTATTTTCTTAGCCATTTCTTTATCACTGGTTGTCACAATTTTTTTTTTTTTCTTTAAATACAATATTTAA